GTTGATGAAAGTCTGCAACTGTGAGACATCGTAAAAGAATGTTTATTTGCAATTTGGTGTACCCATATAGCCAAATTATGTACATCTTATCTTCGAATCCCAACTGTACAATCTTCCGTGTTGTGCTACTTCTGACCTTCCTTCATTAAATTGTGTTTCTTTGTGTTCTTTTCATATCTCCCATGTATCCCTGCAACGCTGAACCATTTGCTTTCTCTAACATCACATCTATCTCCGTGCTATTTTATGTTTTTGTGCTGATGAACAACTCTTTATATACTACTGATAAATCTTATCAGTAGCACATGCCACAATTGTACTATTTATTGTTCGGCTGACCATGTTTATTGTCAAGCTGTCACCACGATAGGTTTAAAAAACCAAGTCTATGATGAAACAGAACATATTGGATACAGAAATGTCGACTAAGAATTCAGATGCCTTGTGTTTTGGTCACTTCATGATGGATTATAAATGTAACTGACTGTAGTGCTTTTGCCAGTCATTTCTTCATTACCACAAAGACGACATAACTGAATTTTTTAAGACGATATGTACCATACTACTGGTTGTTATGGATAGTTGGAAAACCATGTGAAATAGCAATGTTCACCTGTACAGTAGAGGTGATTGAAACACTGGACGACTGCCTTGCTTGTTTGGAGCTACACTCACCAACAGTATACCTCGATAGACTAAACTTAGACGGTCAGGTTAGCTAAAACCATTCAAGAAACCATGATGGCATTCTCACTTTAATACGAAATGTTCCAACTCATGAACTTGTATATCGATTCTCTCTTTAAATAGTTCTTATTAATCGGAATTCGTAATGTGTGATCAGGTTATTTTGAAAACGAAATAAATGAACCACCTCCTGTTCTTTCTTAGACTTAAACTTGCTTAGATAAAGAATAATAATCACATTACTTCAATCATTTTTCAAAACTCTAATGATAAGATAACTGATTATTTGAAGAGATTATTTACTGCATAGAATATTGAATACTGACTGACTGAGCTGTACCAAAAATTGTTGGGTATTAGATGGTTGGAGGCAATCGGCCACCTGAAGCCTTGTCTGACCTAGGTTTCGTACTAGTTGGTACTCTCAACAGTCAGTCGTCAAGATGTATCAGCAACTTTGAAGGAACTCATATCCCTTCTGAGATTCGAACCCACGACACACAGTGAGAGCTGCAGTTTGAGACGTTATCATTGAGCAATTTGGATTCGCGGTCGAATTCCTATAGGAAAGTATTGGATATCTTTTTTGGATTGGACACTAGTCAGTCCTATCTTTGGTATAGTTTCGTGCTCAGCTGGCAAATAGCACAAACCTAAGTTGAAGCAGCACTTGCTGCTGATAGCCTCCAAACATCTAACACCAACAGTTCACAGTGCACTATGATGGTGAGTCAATTAGTGGCATGGTGGTCATATTGCACGCTTGACTGACGATAGAATCAAAATACAGGTTGTTTAACTAGGTTGATGTTCTATGAGAGACGTAGTACTAGTAGCGAATAAGGAGGTAACACCAGTATGGTATTTCGCTCAGATGACTGGCAAGCTGGCTGTGCAGTCACTCCTCTCTAGACAGTGTGGTTAGAAAAGGTTGAACCTAAAAACTGTACGTCTAGGCTAGTGTTTTGGCGGACTTGTAGCAAGATCTTAATACGGACACAACTCCAAAAGCCACTTCGGTCTTGAATACAATACCAGGCGAATCCACCTTGAGCGGGAAAGGCACTTAATTCAGTTCTGTTCTATTAGTAAGGATTATAAACTATGCAGTATCCTATTCTACAACACAGTGGTAACTGAAGCAGACTAGGCTGCAGGTAAAAGAGACCTCAGAACGTTATATCAGATAAACAGGTCTCTATCCGGATAGAGATCAACCCAGATGATGAAACCAATAAAAGGGAACCTGATCGCTAAGAGGGAGAAACAAATGAAACCATGGGCTGATCACTTCAATGGACTCTTGAGTCGTCCATCACCTGCAAGTCGTCCGGAAATGCCACCAACACCAACAGCACGCACACAACTGCCTGCCAGTGGACACCCATACTCCAACGAAAGCAGAAATTCTAAAAGCGACCAAGCTACTGAAGGCCAGCCGGGAAGGTAGCAGAACGAGATGGAATTCCCCCCGAAGCACTGAGACTGCCGCAGATATGCTCACACTATTATTGCAAAAGTTTAGGGAAGAAGGAAAGGTACCTACCAATTGGAAGAAACACCGGCTGACTTGTCAAGCTGCCAAAGAAGGGCGACCCACACCTCTGAAAGAACTGGCGTGGAATCATGCTCTTTTCCGAGCCAAATAAAATACTAAATATCATCATCCTGTAGAAAAAAAGGATGCAATGGATACAGAACTCTGCCCAAAGGAACAAGCTGGATTCAGGAAAAGCAAATCATGTGCTGATTGAATTGCAACTCTATGCGTTATCATCGAACAGACAGTCCATGGAGTGGCGCTCTGCTTCGTAGACTTCGAGCAGGTCTTCGACAGACAGCTTTGACTGAGAAATAACTTAGAAACTTCTTCAGCACTACGACGTGCAATGCCCAAGTCTTTATAAACCTCATTCAACCGCTGGCTATATGACAATGCCTGCCACATATCAGGTGATCCACAAAGGAAAACTCAGTGAGGCATTTGAAGTACATACAGGAGTAAGACTGTCTGGCTGTCTATTATCACCGATGATATTCTTGATTGTGGTAGACTGGATTATTAGGAACACTGTGAGTGGGGAGTGAGGAGACAGGAATACGCTGAACCACAGATTAGAATACTCTAGAAGATCTGGATTTCTCAGATGATAGATGCCTAGTGTCACATAAACTAGAGGACTTACAAGCGAAAACCAAAAAAATAGCAGAAGAAGGTATCAGGCAGCGAAGACGCGATTTCAAACGAACATAGAGAAGACGGTGTTCATAAAGATAACCAGCCAACAGTCACAACAACCATTACCAATCACACTGAACGGGAGAGATTTAACAGAAGTTACTTCCTTCACTTATCCAGGGAGAATCGTTTCAACCACAGGCCACCAGAACCAATGAGGACATCAAAGCCAGGCAGAAGTGGAAAGGCAAGATACGCCTTCATCAACCTGAAACCGGTTTGGAAATCTTTTGCACTCCCTCAGTCAGCATAAAGAAGATTAAGATTTTCGACACAAATGTTAAATCGGTTCTTCCATGTGGACCAGAAACTTGCAATGCGTGTCACGGAAAGAATTTCCAACAAGTTACATACTATTTTTAACAGCTGCCATCAGAGGCTCCAATATTGAGGATCAAATAGCGGGCAAAAAAGAATTAACAACAAGACACTGGCAATAAACCAACCAAGAACCAATTGCTAAACAAATATGTAGGAGTGAACGGATATGCAGTGATCGGGCATACATTGAGGAGGCCATTGAATGACATCGCGCGTCAGGCCAACGTTCAGGTGGAGTCTGAATGGGAAGCGACGAGTGGGGTGACATTTAGGAGGTCGTGATAGGAGATGAGAGATTATGAGAGATTCCACTAGCAACCCTAGGGAATAATAATTTCAGAAGGCCTAATTAAGCTTACAAAAGAGGAAAATCAACTCTGAAGTTAAGCACAACATAAGTGTTAACATAAAACAAAAGTAACTGTTTTGACTACATTGACGTGGTTGGAAACTTCTACTAATTGATGTGAGTACTGTTCAACTACTCATTTCAACCAATCAGTAGTATAGAGTAATATGCATAATATTTCTACCTGTTTAAATATGCATAGTGGAACACATGCCCCTTTTAACCCAATGGATGGTGTGTTTTCGTTTCCAATCTAATTGCATTGTCATTCTTTCTAGATGTAGGTACATTCAGTGGAGGAGTTCTTGATTCCACTGTAAGCCCTCATGAACCAATCAACGTGTAATTTGTAAACGGTAATATTTACGTCTTTTCTTGGTCGATATACCGGTTACTCTTCCTTCAATAAAAGCTAAACTTAACAAGCTATACAATAAGCAGTTGAGATGATGAAGGCATACTATTCATTTTCGTTCGCGTCAATGATGTCATCACAATTATTATTGCTGTAGGGAATCTGTTGACCTGTGATTTCCAATAGCTTAACATGGTATCTGATTGAGAAATTCCTCCCTCCCGGTCTGTAAATAGACTCCCATCAAATGTCAAAGCTACCATTGGAAGCAAAGCTATTCCAGTAACTTAGTAACTATATACTGTAGAGTAGGCTCATTTGTTTGTTACTCATACAGTATGAATTTTTAAAAAAAATGCTGAAATGCTGAGTTGATCCACCGAATGATGGATCGTGTACATTCAAGGATTGTAGCATGGAAGAAACCGTAACCTAATCGAATAAAAATACGCATTATGACAGATACAAATGCATAAAAGCTCATTACACATAAGTGTTGCTCTTCAAGGTGAATAATTTTCAGTCATTTTCAAAAGTCTGCAAGTCATTCGAGACAGATATTGGAACGAATGTCCACACTTATGACACTGGATAATCTCATATCACGGAGGACGATGAAATGCTGAGCTGCTGCCGTAATCACTACGCAGTAGAGTATGATCTAATTCTCCCACGTTTTTACTTATGATGAATTTCTAGAGTTTCTTAACTAGTCGAGAGCAGAGGTTTACAGCCACACTCTGGATCAGACTTCAGTCCCCCCCACCCCCACCTATTTTCCACAAAAAACGATAATCAGCGTGCTTTCAATAAGCTTTTATTATTAGGCACAACGGAATATAACCTTAGAGAAGGTTGAGAAATAAATATATAAATAAGTAAATAAAGCGTTCAAAGGTAAATATGAGTATATATGCATATATATATATATATATATATATATATATATATATATATATATATCTTATGCAGTGAATTTAATGAGGCACATCATAAATATGATTTTGGGCTTGCTTAACCAATAATACGAATAGGCATTTAATAATTACTCCAATACTTTTTCCAACTCTTTAGATGGACGATTATTTGACACGACAGTGATTGGAGCAAATGGATGATTGGTCTTTTGTAAATACTCCTGGAAGAGAAATAACACCAAAACAAATAAAATAAAATGCGATTTCAAAATTTCTATTTATGCATTTAGAAAAAACAAACAAACAAACAATAAATTGAGCAAAGAAATATGCATTCCTTGTAAATTAGTTCCACTTAAAGATGTAATATGTAAATTTTGATTTCTATTGTCGATATGTTGGCGATACATTTATAGTTGTGGAGAAATTCAATAAAGCACATCCTAGCATAAGCTTCACTAAGGAAGAACAAGGGGAAAACGACACTATTCCCTTTTTGGACGTCTTATTGACTAAACGGACAGACGGAACTTCATCTGGACAATAAACTCACTTCCTAAGCTTCGTACCTCCACAATACAAACGTAATCTGGTTAGATGTCTGGTTCACCAGGGTAGAGTTATCTATTCAAATGAGACACTAAACGAAAAGCTCGGTAGTAATTGTGATCTACTAAGTAGAAACGGATATCTGACAAAATGTTTGAACAAACACACATGAACTCAGAAAGTAAAAAGTCGAAGGTGATGACTGTTCTCGAAAGTATCAGTCTTCTTAAGATTACAATTCATGGGTGATGTGTAAATGGTGAGATCTTATCATAACACCTGAGAAAGGCCTTCAAACAAAAATTCAATGCAGATAAGTTATGCAGTGTCCTCACTAGCCAACCAATACTTAGTTTCAAGAAATAAAGACAGGCTACCTTGTTTCGCCTTTTCTATGTGCATTTATTAGTTTAAGTGCCTATGAAGAGCTAGCTACATTGCGCGTACGATTAGGTAAGTTCATCGTCGAATATCTGAACACACCACTCCACATCTTGGTTTGGCAAACAGACGAATAAAACTATACGTAGAGCTGAATACTAGCTCAGCTCGTCCTCTATACTGACTGGACATCACAAGTCGACTGTAACAAACATTTAAAGTTATTTATTGTATGTCACCACCCAGCCTCGACGAGTGGATCATCGGTGTGAGGGTGAAACGGAGGACATCCTGTGAGCAACAGATGAGATATTGTAAGCGCTCGTGAACACAGTCGAAGAGGATGTCAGAAGATAGAAGAAAATAGAGATGTGTAGTTGAAGACCTATGTCCCACTCGGAACCCAAGGGAGGGGACAATATTAATAATATCCTATAATATAAACCTCTAAATACTTTCACTCAACACTAGCTAGTCACTAATATTATGCGTTTAAGTCTTATATGTCGGTGCAGACTGAATTATATCATCAGTCATGTTTGCAATGCAGCCACCACATTCTAGATGGGGCTCGCTACATCATGGTGTACTCTAGATTATTGTTATTAGATAGTTGGAGGCAGTCAGCAGGAAGCGCTGCCTAGACCTAGGTTTTGTGATTATTGACACATGACATTGGTTGTTATCCAGTGTCTAACAAAAGTAATGGGAAGTTGTAACCATAGGGATCCATCAAGTCAGGTATGGGAACAGTTGCTCGCCCATGGTATACTGGTTGGCGGTTACTCTACGTACGAATCGTAAATCGGCAGGAGTTGGAACTCATAAACCATTGGATCGAATCCTGGTGGCTGAATAACCTACGAGGTCGCCTCGTAACCGGAAAGTCCTAGATTTGAACCCCGTTGATTGCGCATTGATGAAGAGTCTTGAGCTAGGACGAAACATTTGTCCTCCACTACTCAATGCTGATTTTCCAATGGTTCTTCTACCTGATGCCAACTCGTAATCAAACCTGTCATAAAAGTATCCATTACAGTCCTACAGAAAATCAATAATGAGTACGAATGGCTGAGTGGTAGCGTCTAAGACTACAGCATTGAGTGACTTGGGTTGGAATCTCAGAGCAGGCATAAGTTTGTCCCTTCAAGACTGCAGATATGCTTTGCTGATTGATGAATGCCAACAAGCATGAGACCTAGGTCACGTATGGTTTGCTGCAAATTGTCTCCAACCACACATCAACCCCCCTAAGATAGTGCATAAGTTTAGAGAGAAGTTACTTAAAGAGACTTCTTAACCCCTGACTTTGTGTTATCTTAATTAAAATCACTGGGGAACTTTTCATATCGATTTCATCTAACAGATGGATAAATGATTCCATCTTTTGCGTTGAATTTTTACATCTACAACCCGACACCACCTGTCAAAGTAATTATCAGACCTTTTTTAAAGGATATAACTGTTTATTGGTTAATAATGTAAATTAATTACACAAACAGTATCGATTTACTATCGATTAAAGATAATTTTTGAATATTAATGAGTGTTACAGGATGGAAAAGAAAATTAACCATCTGTCTGTATGATTCAATTGCACAGTAGGTGCGTAGGTGTGTGTGTGTGTGTTTATGTGTCTATGAATTGAAAGGTAGGCTAAAAGCAGAATAGTTACGTAATTCACATTTGTGCATAACATTAAAAACATCAGTTGTGTGCAACAAAATATGGCTATTTTGATTCCCCAGAATAATGAATAGTAATTGGGATGCAAATATATGTATCTAAAATTTACAATTGTAATGACACAACTTAAGACAGTTAACTATATACATATGCGATTGTACATCTTGAGAACGATATCACTCAAAAGAGGTGCGACTCTTCAATCAACGCCTTTTCTTATACATGACTCAATGAGGATTTTTAAGGTGCCTATTTGACACAGAGCCCATCAGCGGTGTGTTCTGTTTAACTCAGTTCAAAGGATTGAATCAGCTCAAATCAACTGAATTCTGGTCAACCACAGCACTACTTAAAGGGACAATAAGTAATACAAAACTTTCCAAAAAGCTACACTCATGTTAAATGCTCTGCATCCATCTTTTGAACTGTCAGATGATAAGTGGAGAATAATTGATTTTGGTAGAAGTTAGATAACACAGAATTGCAAAGGGGATTTCATCGGTAACACGTCTGATCATGAGCTGACATCAGTTAGAGAACCATTGGAGAACCGGCCAGGGGGAGTACTAGCAAGCCAGATGTGGTTTGCCCTAGTTTGGCACTCTTCAGACCTACGCACCTGAGAGGGGTTCGAACCTAGGAGATTCCGGTTACAAGGCGGCGAGCCTGTAGACCATTCAGCCACTAAGACCCAACCAGATGGTGCATGAATTCTGAATTCTGCCAATTCATGATACATACATATATTTAGTGCAACCACCAGCCACTATATTAGTTAAAACACATAAAAATGCCAACTATAAGTAGTTGAATTTACATAGACAGATAAATGGTGTTCCTACAGGTTCACCAGTTTCCCAAATAGTCGCTGACCTTTTCATGAATAGATTCGAAGATAACATCTTTTCAAGCATACTCACTCCTAAAATATGGTTAAGATATGTAGATGATACTTTGGCAGTGATAAAACGAGATATACACAGTTCATTCTTGGAGAAAATAAACAATCTATCTCCCCCCCCCCCGGAGAACCCAGTTTACTTCAGAAGCAGAATCACACATCAGTGAACTAGCCTTTCTAGACTGCCTAATTAAGAGGAGGCAGGAAGAAAACCCACTCCAACAACAAATATTTAGACTTCGGATCATCACACCCCATCAGCGCAAAGATTTCAGTTGTTTCACGTCTTCTTAGACGAGTACAACCTTTGATGTTAACGGATGAGAAGTGAAAAAGAGAAGAAATGTCAAACATTACTGGAACTCTCAAGCAAAACAACTACTATCCAAGGAACTTCATCAACAAAATCAACACTGACATTAAATATGGTCGAAAACGTATTCCGAAAACATGAACATCAACAGTCGTCATTCCAAATAGAGCAGAGACATCAGCCGATATCAAAAGAGTACTCCAATAAGCTCGAAATCAGAGTTTTCTTCAAAACATCAGACACACTGCGAAACAACCTTATCCAATTAAAAGACCAGATCCCCAAAGACTGTCTATCTAATTGTGTCTATAAAATAGCATGCTTGATTGGGATATTATGCGAGCTACATCGGACCTTCATCTCCGGAGAGAAATTAAAACCAGAAGAAATGAACACCATAGAGCATCTCTGTTCGACCAGAGAGAAATCCAGTTGAACTAGAAAAGCTTGAAAAATCATCCGCCAGCCATTTTTGGTCTACATGCCATAGAATCAGGCCACAAAATTGATTTTTGACAATATTGAAATAATCCAGAAAAAAGATTTCAGAAATCTCAAAGAACGTCTCACATAATCAGAAGCACTTCATATCAAGTGGAATTCAAATTGTCTGAATAGGAGTGATTGACTTAGAAAACAGAATTTGACCTGGTTATAGCACCCTCTACCCGTTGAAGTGACAAAATCAACACGAATGTGATAAGCAATTTCACTAATGTAAACACAAGCTGCTTTTATTATTTTATGCGCTTATCAAATCTACACTTGTTTTGTTATCTTTACTAATTGGCTAATTTGACAACGAAAAATGACCTCATGCTGAGAAACGATAATTAAGTTGTTATATATAAGTTGAGATTTTGTAAATTCAGGTTTAATAATACTGTAACAAGAGAAGACAAGGGCGAAGCAACAGATCGTTTTATTATGAAAATCAACACGTATTTATATATATTTCACATACATTATTATAGACAAGTGCAGTCATCTGATTGGTTGTTTATCAGAAGTTAGGCAGACAAACGCAGGCTTCTGATTGGTTGTTTCGGGATTCCTCGACAAATAGAGTTCTCTATCTGAGAATCATATTTTGCCACGTTAACTTTGCTGTGATTGGTTGTTGAATCAGCCTTGTTCATATTTTCTCATGGCCCATATTAACGTAGATTAGTGTCAACCAATCGGCTAGCAGCCTGCTCTCACCACAATACTACTTTGATAAAGCTACTAGCAGCAGCATTAAATAGCGAAACGTCAGTCGACACACAACAATATCGTTTTGTTTTTCATTCATTGGGAAATACACAAAAGACCTTTATTATAATGAATATCATATACCCAATGCCTTAATTTGTTTTCAAACTGTTAAAAGTGAACTCGGTTTGAACATATGTAAATATTTGAGTGTTAAAGGCACGAGGAAAAGAAAGCAATTCTTCAGATTAGCTTATTGTTTTTTTAAAAAAGTAAACACATTTAAAACTGACTTACATGTGCATGCGATAAAGCATCCAACTTTTCACGTCGACTGCATTTCTCTCCAATATAAACAAACAAAGAACTACCAGTATCAATCAAGAAGACATCATTTGATGATAAAGATGACTTGGGCAGTGCATTTTCACACACAAGCGTAATCTCCATTTTACCACTTTCATCTGATACTCTATAGAAAGAGGGAAAAAAAAGGATACCTAGAGCAGATAGGAATTACTAGTAAGTGAATAATGAATAGGACAGGGAGAAGAGGAGCAGCTAGTGATTTTGTTGGTTTGTGTGCAACATCAATTCTTAAAGGTTTCAAGAGTTTTGTAGTGATTTCTGAGATGACCTTTATATACTGTAGGGTGATTGATGTCATGCACTAGGCTGGTTCCATATCAAACCAGTAGACTCAACAGAGAAAGAAGATACAACCACCATCATCTGCAAAATATTAGTTGCAACAATTGTGAAACTTGGTGGGTCACAAAGAATATTTCCAACAGCCTGTTGCAGACGCTACCTTTATCAACAACTGTCTTCGCTGGATCTATACTGAAGATCAGATGACCGGGCCGGAAAGAATCACCAACAAGAAAGTATGGGAACAATCAAAACAAGAACCAATCGCCAACCAACAAATATGCAGGAGAAAGTGGAGATGGATTGGAAACTCGCTGAGGAAGCCGCTTGGTGAAATCGTGTGCGCGTCAGGCCATTGCCCGAGTAGAACCCGAAAGGGAGGGAAGCGGTGAGTGGGACGTCAGTGCAAGGGTGACATGGAAGAGATGGTGTGAAGAGAAGTTGAAACAGTATGGACTAACATGGATGGATGCAGGTGAAAAGTACAGCAGAAGGAAGACAGAAGTGGCAAGTGGAGACGTGCAGTTGAATTCCTATGTTCCACTAGGAACCCAAGGGAACAATAATAATAATAACGATTGCGAAAAACACTACATTGACCGAAATGGACGACGTCCTCTTCGTCTTCGTATCTATGACCATAAACTAGCCATCAAAATACATGACATCCACTCCCTCATATAACTAAATACAGACAATCACGGGCATCAATTCAACTGGGACAACCAACGTTCAAATATTAGACAGAGGAAACATCAAGAATGCTAGAGAACTCTTAGAAGCCAGCCTGTTATTCCAGTGAATCATCAATTAATAATAGATCCACTGATATAAACAAAATTACCAATCGATAAGAAGGAAACCTCATACACATAGGGTCTAACCTCAGGTTATGGCAACAATCAGTGCCAATATAAGTAGCTTAAAGGGTGTGAAAACACACGAAAGCAAACAATCACTGTGTTCAAGGTTACCAGGAGAGATGACTAATAAACTCGTGGAGAAATCTAAAAGCTCACTTCAAATTGAAGTATGCGCTAAAGATTTTCCTCAGTAGGGCAATGAAGCTTCACAAATAAGCCATCCAGTTAGCTCAGAGAACACAATTACATCAAAATAAACAAAGTGTGGACAGAAAATATACCAACTTCAAGATGGGCATGGTTAGATGTTTGCACAGTACTCGTACGACGTATCTACATCAATGTCAACTGCTTTACGGAATTTACACTAAGATTTCATAGCAGTTAGATCGAGTTTTATTCAAGACTCACTTAGATATCTCAGCGTGAAGTCCGTTGGCCCAGTTGCCCGTCGGATAGTGCTTTTCGCGTTTGAAGCCATGGGGACTGAATTCACGTGTTAACTGAGAACACTAACACTCTCTGGTGGGGGCATGTAGGTACATACAGTTGATGAGCCTCAAACATGACGAAACTAGCGGTTCGAAATGTGATGCTAGCTACCACAAGCTAAATAAGATTAGACTTGTGATTTTTACTCTACCGATGTGAGGTGATGAGATTTTCTGCTTAACTTACTTATTTTTCTCAACAGTATTTTATAAATTAATGTACAATTGGTGGATGGTGGCTAGCAGTGGAATCCAGGATGCGCATTTCGTCCTATTTGGGACTCGTCGGCTGGATGTACCTGCATTTCTCAGTGAGTTATGATGTTCCCACTGAGGCTCGAACCCAGTACTCATAGTTTCAAACGACAAAGCGTTATCCACTAGACCACTTGGTGGGTCACGAGAGCCCACCTCTTGTGCGACGGGTCATATTAATTATTTAATTGAATTTTCGACTTTCCCGTCGATTGATTGGACCGAAGTGCTCGGTCTCACGTTGACATATCGGCTTCTTGTACACTAATGAAATGCCCAGACATCGTCGAAGCATCTGCACAAGAAGCCGACATGTCAACCTGAGACCGAGCACTTCGGTCCAATCAATCGACGGGAAAATCAAAAATTCAATTCAATGTATTTTATAAATTAGTAGTAATATTATTATATGATTGCTTTGGGCTCCAAATACAATGTACATTCCCATTTAATCTTCTTCTCTGAGGTCCTTCTTAGCTAACTCTACCATTGCTCGAAAGCTTTCATCTCCATGTTATATTCAAACCAAAGTCCAGCTTGTCGTTTCTCACTCGGGGGTTCCATTCGACGGCCTGTTTGGTGTGTGTGATTTCAATCAAGAGTTTGCTCCATGTGCATCCAATCTATTCTATCTTCACTTCCTTCTGGTTATTTGCAAGGGTAAATGACTCTTGACTGGTCTGATGACAGACCTCCTTGTTGCTTGCTAATCCTTTCCAGTCGGCAATTTGATCCACAGTGTAAAGCTCAGTGAATGTTTACCACTAACTAATATCTATAACTGTATGTATATTATTGGATTTACATGCACAAAGTGATCCAAGTCAGTGGATCTGTTGGTTTGGATAACATTTTTGTCAGCTGTGTTTGACAGTGATACTAAAATGCTACGGGTTTTTGTTATTGTTGTTGTCGCTGGCCTTCCTGTTGTGAATTATTTTCCTTTTGCTGGTGTTGTCCTGATGGCTTTATTTCTTGTTTTCATGGTTCCTCTGTAACTAACATATTTTGTGTAACAACCCCCTTCTCAGGCATGAGGCTTACAACCCCACTCCCTGTAAATAAAACTGCTACAGAAACTTCAATACGAAAGAGTCTCCTTACAACAGAAGAAAAAGTCTATGTGGAGGGACATGGAACGTTCGCACTATGTATGAGACTGGTAAAGCTGCCCAGATTGTAAATGAGATGAAAAGATTTGGATAAAACTGGTGGATGGTGGCTAGCAGTGGAATCCAGGATGCGCATTTCGTCCTATTTGGGACTCGTCAGCTGGATGTACCTGAAAAGATATGGTAAATATGAGAAACGACAAGATGATCGTCAGTGCGGGGGTGACACATGGAGGAGGTCATGTGAAGAGGAGATGATGAAATCATGTGGACAGGCGTGCAACCAGGTGAAAACGTTGGCAGACAGCCGAACGCAATGGAAACGTTCGGCTGAAGCCGTATGCTCCCCTAGGAGTTAAAGAAAACAATAACAATAATAATAATTAAGATTCTTATCCGTACCGTCTTTAGTTATGACGATACTTGGTGCCCAGGTAATTCAAAGTAGTGATGGTAGAAAAGTGCATTTACAATTCTGATTTTCGTTTCTATGTGATCTTGAATTACAGTTTCTAATTTGTACTAATTGAAAACAAAGATTAATCCACTGAACAACTTTACATTAAAGAAATCAGATCCCATCAACTTATGTGAGATCAATCGATTCTTTCATCTTGTAAGTAATTAAAACTTCATATACACCTGCGAGAAATAGAGTAAACGCCCTAAATAGTAGAGAAAAATACGTTTTGAGGGAATACAGTTCACATTTGAATCGGAAAGGGAACAAGGCAAATTAACTGTAATGTTAGATTGTAAAATAAAACGAATAGAGGAAGGTAAATTGCACACTAGCGATTATAAAAGGCAAAGCCAACACACTCTAATAGACATTTCCACTTTAATTCATCCCATCCGTCGTTATCTGTGGAGGAAGGCTTGGATAAGTGTCTAACAAACTGAGCAGCGGCACTAAGTAGTACAACAGAAAACCTAAATGGTGAAGTGAAACAGATAGAAGAGGCGTTGGTGTTGAATAACTATCCTATAAAATTCATTAGGAAGATCAGAAAAGGTCAAAAGCAAAATAACAGTAATGGTGAAACTGATAGTGATAAGATAAATAACAAAGAATATAAGGCATCTACTGTTATACCATATAGGAAGAGGACATGTGAAACCCAACGTAGGATTCTCAATAAAGCAGGAATTAGGGTGGCTGGCATTCAAATCTACACACTCACTCAGAGATAAGCTCTGTAGGCTAAAAGACCCGATGGACCGAATTAAACAAAATAATATGATTTACAGAATACCTTCCAATGACTGTGAGTTAGGTCAACCACATAGGTTAAAGTAATATATCAGGAGTAGTGAGACTATCAGATCATTAACACACAACCAAGCAGTAGGGTGGGTGGGATAGGGTTAAAATTATAAAACGTAATATAGGTAGGTGGAGAGCGGGAGAGGTTGATTCCTGAATCCTGGGTTCATCATTGAGTCCACACCCAATACAACACATACAATAGGAGGGACTCAACGCAAATACCAGAGATATAGAAGATATTGTTACCAGTCAAATCAGAGGAGGATAATAAATAATGTTAAAATGTATTCCAATTCACGTACATCATAACATTCTAACAAGTTACTTATTTATTTTGACTATAAAAACACTCGTCTTATTTCCCGTCTGATTGTAATTGATCAATAACACTCATAGTCTTATTTCCGAATGTACATTATCCTATATTGACTTTATTCAAATGTCTAATCATCAATTTTTACTCATGTATATAAATGAAGCAAAAAAGTTATGTGAGTAATGCCCTGATACGACTATGAATGGCAATAAATTGTGTTCGAAACGTGGTCATCAGTAAGTATTACTGTATAACAATAATAATGTGAGAGTTTATCAAAACAAAATTTTATCCATAATGGAGTTATACTGTACCACAGTACCCAAGTTTTTTTCCTTATATCAAGTTGTAAAGGGTATATATATATTACCATCGATTAAAGGATTATGAAATTCGACTGAGGAAAAAAGTGTTTGCACCCACCTGTAAATCGCTTTATTGCCCACTTCTTTCTTTACTTTTTCTGGGATTTCAACATCTGGTAGATAACTGAGGAACTTTTTCTAAGAAGCATTCGGGTGAGTGAGAGAGAGAGAGAGAGGGAAAGAAAGAAAACATAAATCAATCAATAAATGAAACAAGAAGAAGAACAACAACAGTAACAACAGTTGGTGTATGTGCAAACAGATTTACTCCTGGTAATATTGAATTTCGTGGATGATTTGTGCTTTTGGTGTCACACACAAACTCGAAGACTTATAGGCAGATGAAAACTAATAAATTAGCTAAAGAAGAAGCGAAGATAAGACTTCAAGTGAACATAGAGAAAACGGAGTTGATGAAGGTAACCAACCAACCAACCACCACCACCATCACCACCAACAGAAACAACAACCAGCACCAATCACCCTCAACGCGATAGCTTTAACAGAGGTTGCCTCTTTCAATTATCCAGGCAGGAAGCATCGTTTCAGCCATGAGGACATCAAAACCAGGGTCGGAAAGGCAGGCAAGATACGCCTTCATTAATCTGAAATCAGTTTGGAATTCTTATGAGATCAGCACAAATGTGAAGTCAGTCAGTCAGTCAGTCAGTCAGTCAGTGCTTCCATATGGGTCAGAAAATTGGTAGGCATGTCACGAAAAGGATTTCCAACAACAGGCTACTCCAGACTTTAGTAAAACAGCTGTCTTCACTGACTCCATATTGAAGATCCGATGGCCAGCCAGAAAGAATTAGCGACAAAAGACCATGGAGGTAAACTAACCAAGAGCCTACCGCTCAACAAATATAGGGAAGAAAAAGGAGACGGATTGGTCACATACTGAAGAGATCGTCGAATGATATCGCGCATCATGCCATCTCTCGAGTGAAACCCGAGTGGGAAACGACGAGTTGGTCGTTGATTAGAGGGTGACATGGAGGAGGTTATGTGGAGAGAAAGAGATGAGAGATTATGGGCAGTCGTGGGCCCAGCTAAAGAGGATATCAGAAAATAGATCAGAGTGGAGATGTGTTGTTGAAGTGCTGTGTTCCACTCGGAACCTAAAGGAAACGATAATTATGATACTTGAATGAACCATGACTGTTTCTCAATGCAGAACTCTACACAGGAGTGTTTCAGTTAAAGTAGCCACACACCACATATAAAACAAATTTAGGAGACGGAAAGGAACACCTAAGAGATGCATAACGAGCGGAAGTGTTGTACCCGAGGGAAAATAATTACATACAGAAACATGAGGACTTAGTAGGTCTTGGGACATTTCATTGGGAACAATTATGAGCCATTGGTTCTTGGAGTCGTGGACTCCAAATAGAAAGTCTGCAACACCTCTTTATGTGGCTGGCTCAAACCAACTGTCAAAAACTTTATAAGATTGATGCTGTGTCTTGATTTCACAACTCCTCTCTAACTGCCTTCCTACTTATCCTATTTCAGCTAACACTGATCAACGAGAAACGCTGTAGTCGGACATGCGTGACATTTGTCCTAGTCATCTTAATCAACGTAGGTTCACAATCGCATCGATTAACTATCCTTTCTTACCTGGTACTCTATGCCTAACCTCAGTATTACTCATCATATTATACTACTGAACATGGGAAATAGAACCTAAACATCTGTGGTTAAAGATGGCTAGTTTCTTTAGGTCTTCCACTTTCAGAGGATATGTCATAGAGTCAGTAAAGGAGGACGGAACGCAATGATGCACAGTATTCATGTCCTTCAACCGCAGTTGTGCCATTTGATGGCTATGCTAAGCTTGATTCTCCCATGTGTTTAATACTTGTAAAGTTATTACAGATATTCTCAGCTTTCAAATAAGCTTGTACTTTATCATTTATATAAATTTTAACGACATTTTCTGACACCAACTGGAGGAACACTGGAAACTAAGGAAGATTCCACACTCTACTCGATGACTTCCACACTCATATAATATCAAACTTTCATTCATCTATGTGATACAATTTCTACAGGCGACAAATAATCAGTAGATGTGTGTGAAGCATAAGCTGACGCTTTCGACAACTTCAATGTGTGTTTATAAATTCACCTGCTTTTGTGAAGCTAGCTATATTGGCAGGACGAAGCGGACGCTTTCCAAACGCATCTCTGAAAATTATCCAGCATGGTTAGCAAAAGGACAATTCAAGACAGTTACTAGCTCAATTCTCGAGCACTTGGTGTGAGCTCAGGCCACATAGCTCCATCAGAGTCGTCTTTCAAGATTATCTACAAGGTGAGGTCAAATGGTACAAAAGGCGTTAGCTGTCAGGCTTCTATGTGTGGTGGAGGCGTTGATAATTCGTCAATACAACCTCGAACTCTGTATACAGAAGAGGTTTGTCCGATCTCTTATTCTAACTTGGTCTTAACACAGTCATCAATCGTTCTCTGTAATTTTTTATGTTTATTTTTAATGGTTACTTTGTTTTTCCTTTAATAATTAATTCACTAATTATCAATCTCACATGTTTCTTTCGTACACTTTCTCATCCTCTTCACACTTGGTAAATGGACACCCAAGTACCACCTTTCTTCTCACTCAATAAAGGTTTCCTCCTTTGTGCCGCTGAGTATTACGTAATTCATAACTTTCATTTTTAGTTTTGAAGCCATCACCTATTATTCAACAATGGATTGCGATACATTTTTGGCAGATACAAATACAACTGTGCAGCCTGTGAAGATAATTTCGTCGATAAAGTACATTTTCTTCTCTGATGAATTGTCTTTTAGAATTTCATCATGAGCTGACATTAGTTAGAGAACTATTGGAAAACAACCTGGGAGTACTGGACAGCTGTTCCGTCCTAGTTTGGGACTCTTCATCAGTACGCACCCACCGCCAGGATTCGAACCCAGGCCTTCTGGTTACAAGGCAAGTTCGTAGACCATTAAGGCACTGGGACCCGATCCATTGGCTAGCCCATGAATTCTAACTTCTGCCAATTCACAACATAGCGTGACCGCTAGCCAATGTCTTCGCTGGCGAGTATTTGTCCTCACACCCGACCCGCTGCACCCTACTGGTCACGACTTCCCAATGGAACCCAGGTAACTACCTACCTGAATAGGGTCAGTCGCCAGTGAGCATCTCATTGATATTCAAGTGATGGTTTGTAGGGATTTGATTGGTTTCAGAATTTCATCACGAGCTCGCCTTGTAACCGGAAGGTCCTGGGTTCAAATCCTGGCGGTGGGTGCGTACTGATGAAGAGTCCCAAACTAGGACGAAACAGCTGTCCAGTACTCCCTGGCTGGTTTTCCAATGGTTCTCTAACTAATGTCAGCTCATGATGAAATCCTGAAACCAATCAAATCCCTACAAACCATCACTTGGAATTGTCTTTTATTTTCTTCATCTGTGAGACATTGCCACAGGCATCAAACGTTATTATGAAGGAGATATCTACACACATGGACTGTTGGATCCAACCAGAACTCTAAAGAGTGCTTGTCAAAGCAATAGAATGTAGTATAGGATTGCACAACTGAGGCTGTTTAGAAATGAAACCATGGATATGTGATGAAATGCCAAATTTTATGTTTTTCAATACGTCTTTAGAAATCATATGATTCTCCAGATGACTGGTTACCATAAGGTGAGTTTCGACGTAAACCAATGTAGACCATAGAACCATTAAAACGTCAGCAGCAAAGACAAAAACCAATTTGCCTTTCTTTAAAGCTATGCTCACTTCTGACTCCAAAGAATGACAAACAAACTGTCATCCCCATGAAGTCTATGACATTTGAATCTGTTGGAAAATTAGACTTTGATTAGGTGTCTTGTTTATACAACAGAATTATAAATAACTGTTGTACGCGTCATTAGGTCAATCGGAGAATGCTCACCTAGCATACAAGTTGTCTGAGGTCCGACCTACACTCCCTAATCTCAATCAGTGGATTAGCCGATAGCAATCCTGGAAAGGAGGGGATTTGTAGAGATGAGACGATAGAAACTGCACCCCTTAAAAACAACAAAAGCAGTGATGCTGAGACTTCAAAACTTGAGGCCTTTTGTTTAAATTGGGATGAGACAAAACACATTGATGTGTCTATGGTTTCATCATACTACTGAAATATAGCTGTAATCAGTAGTCTTTGGATTCCATTAATTCCTCAGTTCACTTTGATACCCTTTTAATATAGTTAACTAGTAATCTCATTCTCAATTAGTATAGCCTTATATGAGTTATGCTCAGAGCTTTGATCGTTCAAACCATATGAATGAACATGAATCACTAGACTGTACGCCCATACATACATACACACACATATACACATAAACGGGAATAGTAACAATGAATTAACGCAAACAACAATAACAAACTTACATGTCCTTCAGCATCATCTTCATCTATCACCTCAGTTCTGCATCGGCCATTACGATCAGATTCAAGTTGTTGTAGAAATTGACTGGCCTAGATATCAACATATTGAGTACACAAACAACAAGACTTTTGAATACAAGAGCACCACAAAAACAATAATACTCGCAAAACACTTGAAGGTGATGAAGATAAGCTATGAACTAACAGAATAATTAAGAAGAGACGCTGAAGAGTCTCAGAATAGGGCGAAACAGCTACCCAGTTTGCAACATAACTTAAAATTAATTAGATCCTTGCAAATCAACAAATGGAAATTATTCGAATACTCTAAATTGACTAACCACAAGATGAAGTTACCTGGAGTTCTGGTGAAACGGTGTGACCAGTGGAATCTACCATGTCAGGTGTGAGGACGAATTCCCACTGGTGGTATTGGCTGGTGATCGTGTTACACCCTGCCAACTGAAAGAAGTAGGTCCATTGGTCATTGGATTCCATCCGAGTGGTTGAGAGGTCAACGGGCTTCTCCTCGTAACCCGAAGGTAACAAATAGTTAATAATACAGTGAAGGGATGTACCTAATTTAGGTATCTTTAAAAGAACTTGGTCTAGTAAGAATGAACCTGTCAAACACCGAGTTTAAGCAAAAACTGACTAGTTTTACAGGTTTTCCACTAACTATCCATCCCGTTAGTCATTAATAAGCTTGCTGAAACTTAAACTGAGAGTTGGGTTGTCAACTGGTTGCAATCTTATTTCTCAGGAAGAAAGCAGTACACTGTATGTCAGGAGAAGTCGTCCACTTCATTGCTTACTGAGGCTGACGTTCCTCAAGGCACTGCTATTTTTCCATTTCTGTTTTCTTTCTTCTTGCATAACATGCCTCACTCTGATGAGGAAATGAACTTTGTTAAGTATGCCAACGATCTAACTATCTCAATATCTATTAACTCCCAGCTAGATTGTTCTAAGATGAACAGCTCTCTATCAGGAGTCAGCAAATGGTCTTTTTGTAATGGTCTTAAATTAAATCCTTCCAAATGTTAGACTGTTAATTTAAATTTCCGACATAAAAGAAAGATAAATGGAACTGTTAATTCCTCTGATCGTTGTAAAATTGATGATACTGATATAGAAATCAAGTTTGACGTTAATTGTCATGGTCTAGTTCTTTCTTCTCATCTATCCTCGTCTTTCCGTATCTTACAGATTTCTGGTGAAATATCCTGTCAGACTTTTTACATTAAGAAGTTAAGACACTCAGGCATAAGTCAACCCCTCCTCCTTTCACAGCTCGTTTAACTCTTGCATCTTACCTATTCTTCTTTACTGTTCACCCTTATACTCTTCTAGGTTACTTAAAAAAGACTATGTCATACTTCGTAGAACTTTGAAGAGACTGTCAGTCAGTAGGACGAATGGTATCCCATTGGGCCGTACCACTGAGATCATCACTGATAGGCACTTGATTTCATGCAAGAAATTTACTAAAGGGATTTTTTTTAAGACTGTGTGTATCCACTGCAGTACACGCAGCTTTCACTTTGTATCTCTTCAGGTAAAACAAGAAGTCATCTCATCAGAAGACTTTATGCGCGCACATCTAAGTATACAAATCCCACGATACCATATTTGGTGGCATGTACTTTATGTGATGAAAGTAGTGTCAGGCACAAAATAATAATTAACTAACCTTCTTTCCATTAGCAGAATAAACAATTTTCTCCATCCTTATTCCCCCAAGCTTTACTACTATTATTCTCCATATATTTATAATCCTTCCACTTGTTTTTTGTTTATTTTTTAATAAGCGTTCACTATACTATTTCAACAGAACATCAGATTCAATAGTTTATATATGTGTAAAACTTGGGCACTGTGGTAGTAAGTAATTCCGTATTAGTATGTTTATTAAATGTATCACACAGTGAATGAAACAGTATTGTATACTGGATGACGTTTCGAATACAATTTATCACTGTTCATAATCATATCAATTTTGGTCACACGACTTCGAGATTTGATTTTTATAGTTTTCTCTGTCCTCTCCTATTTGTCGTATGGGCAGTAGAATTTTCCATACATCTGGGACAGGTGTTGAATCATTCCTATTACATGTATTTGCAGTTGATACGATAAACGAAGCTTCCGTTATCAATCTCTCCCTCCCTCCTGCTGTTACATTAGATTTTAAAACTGTCATCCTATCCCATCCAGCCTATTGTATGGTTGTGTGTAATTGCATGTAGTGAGTGCTATAGCTGAACTACTCTCTAGATTTCTTATCTTATTCGGGTCAAGCAGTCTAGATTTAGCTAGGTTTTTATGTTCGGCTAGTCTGACTGCCCCTGGTCTACTAGTTTGACCTATGTATTTGACCTGACAATCATCGCAGGCAGGGTACTAGATAAACTAAATTGTTTTGTTTTAAAGACTTCTCAGGATTGATCCTTTAACCGACAAAGCTTGTTTCTAATTGAGTTTGTGAGTGGTTTGAATGCCAGCCACTTTTATACTGCCTGCCTTGTTAAGAATTCTGCGTAGGGCTTCCGAGGTTCCTTCCTTGTATGGAATTATTACTGATGATTTAGATTCCTTATTGTTGGTGTCGTCATTAATATTATTATTATTATCACTATTATTATTATTATTATCATTATTATTGTTATCATTATTATCATCATCACTATCACTACTATCATTATTTATTTTATTTTTACATTTACTTACATATTTCTTGACTAATTTATCCGGGTAATTATTAAGTTTCAAGGCTTCTTTTATGTGTATCACTTACTGTCTTAGATTTTCCTTGGTACTACTTAGTTTTTGTGCTCTGTCATTTAAACATTTCACCACTCTTATTTTTACTGATATAGGATGGTATGATCGGAAGTCCAAATATCTGTTTGAGTGTGTGGGTTTTCTGTAAACACTAGTGTTTAGCTTCCCATCTTCTTTCCTTTTTACGTTGTAATCTAACATTGGAAGTTCGCCTTCCTGACTTTCCGATTCATAAGTGAATTGAATTGCCTCTACCTTCGAGTTGATGTGCTCGAAAAATCTATCTATATCTTGTGTTCTAAGTACAGTGAATGTTTCACCTACATACCTCCACCATACTTTTGGGGTGGGAGTGAACGTTTCAATCGCTATGCTTTCCGACCTATGCATGAATATATCTGCTACAACCGGAGATATTGGTAATCCCATGGCAACTCCCTCAGTTTGTTTGTATATTTTCCCTTGGAATTTAAATACTGTAGAAGTTAGGCAAAGCTGCACTCCCAGCATTATGTCCTCAATTGGCACTTTTGTCCTAAGTTCGAGTTCTTGGTCAGAAATGAGTTCGTTTCTGACCACCTCTATAGCCATATTTATTGGTGTACGTGTATATAAACTGACAATGTCAAAACTTACCATTTTTTCTTCATTATCTAATTTTAAATTATCTAATCTGTGTTTTAGTTCATAAAATTAGTTAGTCTAGATTTCGAGTAGATTTATATATATATATATATATTCGAGTGGATCAATAGTCTATAACACGCTAAAAATTTCCATACTGTATCTACAATACTGTTTGAAACAAACCCACTGTTATTATTATTATTATCATAGTTATTATTCTCATTTTGTATGTTGCATATTTTGATTTTACTCCTATCGTAAGTGTAGACAAATTCCTATGGTTAATTTCTTATTAATATTTTGAGTATATTATCTTTTTTTCATTTCAATTGTAAAAATCAAGTTCTAAATTCCTTTTCTATAGTGCTTCCTCTCAAAGATTCTTCATTAGTATTGATTTTTTTTGTAAGAATTTTGTTTGATTAGTTGGAGGATTTCATCATGAGCACTGACATCAGTTAGAGAACCATTGGAAAACCAGAGAGGGAGTACTGGACAGCTGTTTCGTCCCATCTAGTTTGGGACTCTTCAGTAGTATGTACCCACCGCTACGGTTCATCAAACCCAGGACCTTCTGGGTGAGTGCGTACTTCTGAAGAGTCTCAAACTAGATGGGACGAAACGGCTGTCCAGCACCTAGTAGAGACTCTATTCGAAGATATCTGATGTACCGGACAGCTGTTTCGTCCCATCTAGTTTGGGACTCTTCCTCCGTACGCATCCAGTCCCAGTGGCTTAATGATCTGCGATTTCCTTTTTTGTAACCAGGAGGTCCTGGGTTAGAACCCCGGTGGACGCATACTGATGAAACAGCTGTCCAATACTCCCGGGTGGTTTTTTCAGTGGTCCTCTAACTGATGTCAGCTCATGATGAAAACCTTCAACTAATCAAAGAAAATCCCTACAAAATCAATACTCGAAAAATGTCTGATGTATTACACAGGATAGAGATTAGGCAGTGGAATCAAAGATGTGTATTTCATCGTATTTGGAACTCTTCAGTTAGATGTGCCTACAATTCTCCCCTCCAGGATTTCACTGGAGGGTCCACCACCCACCAATCAAATAAAATCAAGTTCCTCTGTCTAATCATAGTTTGCCAATCACTCCATTCATGAATATTAGTCTGCCAAGTGAAGATGAACTCAAATAACTATACAATTACAACAACAAGATAATTTTATTATAGCGCTATTACAAGAGTTTGTTCCCTTGAGACACAGGCTTTTCTGCATATATATTCAGAAAATCGAAGGTGTGCCCTTCTTTCTGTTCTCCGAGTGTAACTGCTCTCACAGATACATGTAAATTTGTATACACAGTTGGAGTTGTTAACAGGAGAAGGGTATCTGTCGACTTTTGATTGCATCAAAGAGCATGTTGTTCAATGGACGAGAACCAGCTTAAACTGCAGGATAGGCTATGGCTAGTGATGTAATCAGTCTTCTGTTGACCAATGCCGCAATGTTTTCACCTTTAAAATCTAGTTAAATAAAGACAGGCTTTTTTTTTCAACTGTGATTTGTTTGGTATTTGAGCCTTCACATCTTCTATATTTGTTAATGAATCTTTCAGGATAAACGTTGCTTCTCAATACCTTTTCGAGAATCGTAAATTCTTCCTCTAGTTTCTCTACAGGGTATATCCTCCTTGACTAGTCCACGTGTAAAGCTATTTGGACAAAAACTATTAAAATGTAAGTATTGTCCATTCCATGACCTCTGGAGACTACCATCTTCTGGGTGTTGCATGGCAGTGTCAAAGAAATGAAACTTTCCATCATTTTCATTTTCCGTAGTAAATTCAATATTTGTATTTGCGTCGTTAAATAATCTGAGTAAGTTGGTTGGGAAGCATGACTTTGATTGTTGCACACTACAAATGTATCATCGACATATCGACAGTAAGAAAGTTGTTTCGTCAATTGCAGCAGAAAAGCCTGCGTTTCAAGAGAACAAACTATTATAATGGTGCTATTACCAGACATCTTCTTGATACTCTGTCTGTCTGTCTGTTTTCGACATAGAACTTTGCACAAATATGCGGAAGTTCAAGTCGCCACATTCCGTGTAGCACGCGAAGCAAGAGAAGAAAGTACAAGAAAAGCATAATAGAGACAGTAAGCAGAGGTGTGAGACAAAAGAGTAATAACCAAGAACAAAACAGTTTCATTGGAGATCATAAGTCACAAGGAGTGGATGCATCGGCGCTAGCCACTGAGAACGATTTTGAGCCATGTCACCAATTGTTTCCAACCATTGGTTTTTACCGTCCCGAGGACCCCATCCAGCAAGTCTACACCTTCCTACGTGGCTTAGACCAACTGTTGTGGATTTCATTGACTGGTGATGCCAAGTTTTTGTTTGACCTCCGCTAGCTTTTTTCCAGCCTGACCCTATATCCGCTAACATTGCTCGTCGAGGGAGGCGATGGCTTGGCATACGTAACACATGTCCTAACCATCTCAGTCTATGTAACTTCACGACTTCGTCGATTGATTTCCCCTGTTTACCTAGCACTCGACGCCTAACCTCAATGTTGCTCACCTTATTATGCCACTTTACACAGGAAATAGAGCGCAGGCACCTATGATCAAAGACAGCTAGCCAATCTTTTCATGTCTTCCACTCTCAGTGGCCAGGTCTCACAACCATAAAGGAGGACGGAGCGGACTGATGAGCAGTACACACGCCCTTTGGTCGATAGTCGAACATCTCGTCTACGCCAGAGTCGGAGTAAACTAACAAATGCGAAACGAGCCCCTTGTATTCGTGCTGAGATTTCGTCAGAGATCAACCCGTTGGGGCTGATGGTACTTCCCAAATAAGTGAAGCGGTCAACGTGCTCTACCACTTCACTTCCTTGATACGCGGGGTAATGAGGTGGAAATCGTGAAATCCTTTAAAATTATCAAGATAATTTTGTATTTTTGTGAATTACTCACTTTGAATTTTTCTTCTTTACTTGAACCACTTCCATTCCACTGGAATGCTTCACTACCCATATCCAAAATAAATACATCAGTTGAATCAAGTGAACGTCTTGAAAATGGTACTTCAAGTAGCTCCATATGCTGACGATCAATTGAATGAAATACCAGTAGGCGTGGTTTATATTCATTCGGTTGAACATGATTAAAACCACTGACATAACCACCGGCTAAAGTTCTAAAGATTTTAATAAACAACGAAAAAATAAAATAAGATAAAATAATAGAAGAATAAAAAATCTTTACAGTTATACATTCATACTATTGAATTGTTCAGTTTATTTCATATGAACTGTGATCAAGATTTGACCGAATAGTTCCAAAATACAATTGGCCGCCGCCGAGTGAGAAGTAGACATTTGTAAAAAATTATATTTGTAAAATCTCAGCGGAATTAAAATGATTAATTCAAACGTTTCCTGTGTTTGGCAATCTCGTTCCAACTTCTTCAGGGAAATTAATCGAAATTAACGTAACAGAGGTTTATATATAAAAGGAACATCTCTTGTTTTTAAAAACTTTGTCCAATCATGATTCATATAACAAGTATCAACATGTATAATGATTAATATCAGTAAAAAGTTTGAGCATTGTGGATTAGATCCAATAAAGTATAATTATATTTCAATAATTTACACACAATGTTTTGTTTCTCCTTTGTTTTTTCATAGGTATGAGCTGTGATCAAAATTTGACCTCAGACTTACAAATTTTGATCTACCTTTGTTAAACACTTTAAACAGTGTGCATGTGTGTGTGGGTGAACAGTTGTATTACATTTCTTAACGTATCCATAAGTAGATATAGACAGTCGGGAAACTTTGACCAAGTATTATTAGTTAGTGATACATATCCATTCTTATTTACTAATCAGGATTTCCTATGCGTCAGCTAACATCATACCTTCATGTCTGTTCAAACTGTTACCATCTAGAATTTTATGATTAGACGTATTTTCAAAATTATGGTGTTTAGGATTAGAGAGAGTTTAGTTGAAGCACCCTGTCAAACGTATTGCTCTGTCTTCTTTCTGAAGATTCAGCTGCTTTGTTCGACCTACTGGAGTTGTCAGGTGACTCGACTGCTACGGATTTAGGATATGCATTTTGTTGCAAACAACGCAGAGTGAAAACACGATGGTTGTGCCAATTACATATAATTGCTTTGTTAACTTAATTCGATTGCAAAATAAATCAAATGAACTGTCGTCAAGATTTGACAGAATAGTTCTAAAATATTTGGGCACCGAGTGAGAAGTAGACATTTGTAAAAAATTATATTTGTAAAATCTCAGCGATATTGAAATGAGTAATTCCAACGTTTCGTTCGGCAATCTGGTCCGAACTTCTTCAGGGAAATTAATCAAAATTAACATAACAGAGGATTATATATATCTCTTGTTTTTAAAAAAACTTTGTCCAATCATATGAGTCATGGAACAGGTATCAGTATGTATAATAAACAAAATTGTATGAACTGTGATCAAAATTTGACCTCAGATTTCAAAATTAGCCTACTTTTGTTAAACAATTTAAACAGAGTGTATTTTTCATCAGATTACGTTCAACTAAAAGTTCATGGTCGTAGATAACTGAATGTGAAAAATATGTAAGTGTATATTTTTATTTTTTATTTTTGATTACAGCTTGACTCCACACCGTATTTTCGGTACAAGTGTGGAATTTTCAGAGTGGATATCGGTAGCCCAAAATTCGCAGGCCGACCATAGATATCAGGTGTGCGTCGGCGTGGGCTCGAACCCCGGACCATGTGCATGGTTGACGAGAGTCCTAACCACTGTGCCACCGATGCACAGTAAATAGTGGTGTGTGTGTGTGTGTGTATGAGTAAACAGTCATAAAACATTTGTTAGCTACTCCATAAGAAGACATAAACAATCGGGAATTTTGACCAAGTATGATTAAAAGTCAATCTGAACGAAGAATATTCTTTTCAATAATTTCTCTTCACGTTCTTACAATTATAAAATATAATATTTGTGGTCGTTACAATAAAGGCCAGTTATACGGCGGGTACATTTTTTAACGTAGAATAACAGATTAGTAGTTATGGGGTGTCAAAATAAATAGTCGTATTTGTGTGATAAGCATCTTGCTCTGGGCTGAAATCGATTGCAAAATATTGTAAAACGGGAGACAATGGTGGGGATTAATCATAATAGAATTGTAGAGTGTGTTTATTATTACGCATAACCTACCTTGGTAATCCTTATTTCATTGGATTACCAAACGTTGTGTTAATCATTCTTAATTCTTTTTCTCACTTTGTTTAATTTAATTACCCTTAATTAATCTTTCATATATATCGACTTGATAAGTAAATGTGTGAGGGATCAGATTGTTCGAAATGTATAGAGGTTAGCTGGCATTTAAACCAAACGACCAACTCTCTCCAAGATAAACTTTATCGGTTTAAGAACCGAATAGATTCAATTAAGAAAGATAATATAATTTACCAAACACCATGGAATGATGACTGTGAATAGGTGAAACTAGTAGATCAGGGTCAACTGGATTATTGAAACATAAAAATTTAGCTAGACCTGGAGCGATTGACCCTACTGAGTTAAATAACCTAGAAAAAAGCTCAGCCACTGCACTGAATTCACATGCATGTGATCACAAAATAGGTAAGGTGGGACAGGTTGAGAGTATTAAAAAGTAATAAAGTTGGGTGGAGATAAGGAGAGAGAGGTTAATCCCTGAATCTTTGTCCATCGACATTCAACACGCCACACGTGCAATCGGAATGATGCAACGCCACCTATACCGGTGATATAGAGAGTGGCAAAAAACGGGATAAAGAATTTGGAAAGATGGAAAGAGAGAAAATATCTACATAAGACGAATTTTGAAGCCATCTGACTAAATTGATACGATTATGAGTGGCAATAATCTATGCTCGAAACCTTGTCATCCAGTTGTTAATAATGCATCATCACCACTGTGTGATAATTAAATTAAACTCATCTAATTTGGAATTACATTCTACCAGAGTGCTCAAGTTCTACACTTACAATATAGTGTTTGCTAGTCAGATAGAAGTGATGTAGGCAGTAGAAAGTCATTTCACTCATTTAAGGCCGAGCACACCATCAAAGTATCCGGTTCGCTTCAGCACAGAGACCAGAATATGTTGAAACCACTCGAATTCTCACTAACTACTTGGGTGAACTGGTAATGCACATGGCTTAGGATTAGATAGATAGGTGGGTTGATGGCTCAACAGTAGAATGCTTGCCAACCGTTCACGTGGTCAAAGGTTCGATCCTCGGCCGACGAATTCTTAAACCTCCCTTAGTCGGTTGTAAGTTTGACAAAGATGAGAGGTCGGCTGTGAGGCTAGCAGCCTAACTCGGTGAGAACGACCACGATTACTGAAATGTCACAGTTGAAGCTTGAGGCCCTATGTTCCACTGGGAACACAAAGTAGCAAAATAAGTATTAAAAAACAGGGATTAAGTCAAGAGAAGAGAAGACCAATTTATATTGAAGCTTTCCTTTTAGTCTGAATTGTGTTACGAAGGCGATTAATTCATTTCATGGTGAATAAAGTCATTAATATCTCCGCTTGCAAGATTTCGTATATTTTGAGTTCATTTGTAATCAGTCGACCGTTTCATCATTGAACTTTTTTTCAAAACTGCAGTTCCTCTGTGACGTCACCAATCAGAGGTACACTGTCTCCTCAAAACCACTCCAGTGACAATAAACTGCCTGACCTGGCCTCCTCCACCAGTTTGACTGTTCCGGTGGAGCTAGTTATATTCGGCGCACAATTAGGCAGATATTCATCATTGCAATTTCAAACATCATCATGAATAGTGGTTATGCAAGGGACAAACAAGATCCATTCGTAGCCTTCTTTTAGTACACCATGTAGATATAGTGAGCATAAAGTTGTTAATAGGAATAAAGCATTTAAAGTTGTTAATTGCATTCTAATTAATTCTAACTTAATTTTGCTTTACGAGTTCGTCCTCTACATACACCTGAAACCATTGGAATCCAGTTGGAGGAGCCGATCTTGGCCACTATTCCATGACTATAGAAATCTGATGGCAGTTTTCTACCACCCCTGTGTCATTTACAAGTTGTCATTATTATTATTATTATTATAACTATTTTAATATTCTGAAAAGAAACTATGGGAACAAACAAAGCAAGAACCAATCGCCCAACAAATATTCAGGAGAAAGTGGAGATGGATCGGACACTCGCTAAGGAGGCCGCTGTGTGACATCACGCGCGCATCAGGCCATTGCTCGAGTGGAACCCGAAAGGGAGGGAATCGGTGAGTGAGACGTCAGTGAAAGGGTGGGTGACATGGAGGAGATGGTGTGAAGAGGAGCTGGAACAGTATGGACTAACATGGATGGATTCAGGTGAAAAGTACAGCAGAAGGAAGACAGAAGTGGCAAGTGGAGACGTGCAGTTGAAGCCCTATGTTCCACTAGGAACCCAAGGGAACAATAATAATAATAATATTTTGACGGTTTCATATTTAATTACCTGCTACGTAATCGATCTGGAAACTCGTTTATTTTTTTCAGTTACTCTTAAATTACCAGGAATATAGCGTCGGTGACGCAGAGGTAGAATCCTCGCTAACCACTTCTCATGTGGTTGGAGGGCTCGATACCCGGCCGACGAATTCCCAAACCTCAATTAGCTGGTAATAAGCCCGACAAAGAGGGAAAATTGTAGGGGGTGAGACTAGCAACTCCACTCCGTGGAAATAGAAAACCACTGCTACCATAACTTCAAAGCTCTAGCACGAAGTCCTATGCTCCACTGGGAACATAAGGGAATAAAAATAAAAATTTTGCAAAATTTGGAATGACTGTAAGTTAGGTCAACTAAATAGATCAAACCATTAGACCAGGAGTAGTGAGATTGCCTGTCAGAACATAAGAATTTAACTAAAGTTAGAATGACTGACCCTGCGAAAATAAGTAATTTAGAGAAAAACTCAACAATAGCTCTGCATGCATTAACTCACAACCACACAATAGGGTGGGTGAGACACAGTCAAAATTCTGAGAAGTACTGTAGGTAGGTGGAGGGCGAAAGAATCCTGCCTGGTTCATTGAGTCTACACCGAACACAGCACATGCAATAGAAGTGACTCAACACAAATACCAGAGATATGGAAGATGTTATTGGCACCAGTCAGTCAAATCAGAGGAGGATCATGAATAATCTTAAAATTCTATTTCAGTTTACATACATTTTAACATTCTAACAAGTTACTTATTTATTTTACTATAAAAACACTCATCTTATTTGTATTTGATTGATGACACTGATATTATTATTTCCGAATGTACTTAATCTTATATTGATTTTTACTTATGTATATAAATGAAGCAAGAAAGTTGTGTGAATGAGTGACTTGATATGATTATGAGCAGTAGTCATAAATAGTACTCGAAACGTGGTCATCAGTAAATATTACTGTATAACACACTGTGAGACTTTATCAAAATACGTTTTTATCCACAATGGAGTTATACTCTACCACAGTTTCATTTTTTTCCCTCACGTTCCCCAGTGGAACATAGGGCCTCAAGCTAGTGGCTTGAAGTTTCTGTAGCAGTGTTTAATTTTACAGGATAGGGTTGCTAGCCTCATACCCAACCTTTCCTCTTTACCAGTCTCATTACTGGTTTAGTAAGGTAAAGGAGTGTGCATCGGCCGGAGATCGAACCTCGGGCCATGTGCATGGTCGGCGAGCGTCTTAACCGCTGTGCCACCAACGCTCACTTTACCACAGTGCCCAAGTTTTATCCGCCTGTTTAATTTTCTAAAATATTTTTAGCTTTGAATTGTTATATTAATTTTCTTGACAAATTATCACCCCACCTTTTGAAATGCTAACATTGAATTCAGCATATTTCACATCTCGACCGCAGAATGTTTAGGAGTCATTCAACTAATCCATGTTCATTTACGTCCTCAGTAATATATAAGTCTTCAAACTAGAGCGTTTTTGAAGTTTCGGTAGCAGTGATGTTTTTATTTTTACCCGATGAGGTTGCTAGCCTCAGGCCAAACCTTCTCTATTTACCGGTTTCATTATTGGCTTAGTGAGTGAGGTAAAGGAGTGCTTCGATGGCAGGCGAGCATTCTACCTCTGGGCCACTGACGTACACTCAGTTAAGAGTAGCATTCGTGATTTTATTCCTTTTTAGTAGTAATTACCTCTGAAATTTTTTTACAATGCTATTTCTTCTTTGTTTATATTAAACGTTATATTAGAATTAGTCTGAAATATTCTTTGGTGAAAATGTCGTTTTCAAAATGAAAAGGTCAGCGTCGTCAGCATCATCTAATGAATCCTAAATGTCCAACAGAACAACTACTCATCAATGGAATAATTCTCAGTAACATTTTCGCCTTCTGCAATGACAAGTATTAAGTTCGATTTCTAATACATTCATACAATTACTCAATTGGAATTCAGCTGAATCCACCCGACAAGTCCTGAACAAAACGAAACACGTTTCGTGGATTCTAACACCTGTCAACATCAACCAGTTGAAAGTAGATAGAATCTTCGGCAGTTGAAATAAAAACAACATATCGAGTGGTCACTTAGTTGCTGTTCAACCTCCGGTCTTGTAGGATCGAAGAAATGACTGCTTGTATATCACAATATGCTTCACTGATATAAAGAACTAAACAATCGATGTCAAAAATCTGTCATTGGAGTTCAGAGCTAATACTGGCAAAGACAAACAGACTTAAGCTTGATTTTTACAAACCAATATCTCAACTACACGAGGAACGGACGAGGACTTCAAATTGAGAATCAGGAAGGCGAGCGAGAAACACATTCATCAACCTGAAACCAATCTGAAAATCTACGTCACTCAACATCAACAACAAAATTCGGTCGGATTTTCAATACAAATGTCAAGTCAGTCGGTTTTTCTATACGGATCAGAAACTCGGCCGGCGGGTCACAAAGAATATTTCCAACCAACATCCTGTTGCAGACCTTCATCAACAACTATCTTCGCTGGATCTATACTGAAGATCAGATGGTTGGGCCGGAAAGAATCACCAACTATTGGAACAAACAAAACAAGAACAAACCAATCACCAACCAACAAATATGCAGGAGAAAGTGGAGATGGATCGGACACTCGCTAAGGAGGCCGCTGTGTGACATCACGCGCGCGTCAGGCCATTGCTCGAGTGGAACCCGAAAGGGAGGGAAGCGGTGAGTGGGACGTCAGTGAAAGGGTGGGTGACATGGAGGAGATGATGTGAAGAGGAGTTGAAACAGTATGGACTAACATGGATGGATTCAGGTGAAAAGTACAGCAGAAGGAAGACAGAAGTGGCAAGTGGAGACGTGCAGTTGAAGCCCTATGTTCCACTAGGAACCCAAGGGAACAATAATAATAATAAATGTTCACAGAATACCTCAAAATTTCCGCATCCGGTCGTGTAGTTGTACTGTGTATTAAAAACAAAGAACGAGCCTCACGGCCCCGCTTCCTCTCTCAAAAGACTAGACGCACCTGGCTAAAGACCGATTTCAGCCGCTGGAAAGATGAGGATGACACTACAAAGCTGATATAGATGAAAATAATTTCTAAAGTATGTTCCCTCAGAGACCTGGATTCTGATGACGAAGATCTCCCTGATCTCGACGTGCCGAGTACAGAGGCTGAAAAACTGGAAAAGAATGGAACCGAGGGACATCAACTGAGTGAACACGATGGTAGTCTTTAGACCGTCTCTTCATGAGCATTTTTACAACTCTGCATCATTAACAAAATATTGCTGAAGTCGGGTGTTGGGATCTATATTAAGAAACCTAATTTATTTGTCTAAAAGAAGCTAGTTCAGATATTGTCTTTACTTTCTTTGGCCATCTAGGTTTGAATGATCCTCAACTTTTTGTAGAAATTTCCTTAATTTTAGTTGATATTCTATTTGCTATTATATTATTATTACTGTTATTATTATAATTTAGGCATCTTTAATTAACTGTAATTACTAGAGAAGATTTGTAGCTCAGGTGTATGATTCGCAATTAATAGTGTTCTCTAAGCTGCTTCGTTTAGTTGCGGAGCTTTCGTCGTCCCCCTTCTGGACAACATCCCCTTTCAGCGCAATTTCTAGCATAAAGTGAACTAATTTAAATTTCTTCATGAGTGATATAACTGCGTCTCCCGGTAACCATCTTTACATATGTATTGACCGTTTTCTATTGACTCGGATTTTAAACTTTCTGGCCACATGATTTACTTTTTATTAGTTGGTATATTTGATCTATATTTACGTGTTTGTTAATTGCATATTCGTTTGAGTACCAGGCTTCTAGGAATTCCCTGGCACTTTTGGTCTTTCCTGTGTCTAAGATTTCTACATTATCCCAATCATGTTGATGTTCATAATTGTCTATGTGCACTGATATGAAAGAATATATATTGTATGAAATGTAACAGGCACTACATCAGCCAGAGCTGGCGTCCCCTTTGAATCAGAATCCAAGAACACAAATCAGCCGTGAAAAGACACGATATATATTCCCGTTTCATATCAATGCACATAGACAATTATGAACATCAACATGATTGGGATAATGTAGAAATCTTAGACACAGGAAAGACCAAAAGTGCCAGGGAATTCCTAGAAGCCTGGTACTCAAACGAATATGCAATTAACAAACACGTAAATATAGATCAAATATACCAACTAATAAAAAGTAAATCATGTGGCCAGAAAGTTTAAAATCCGAGTCAATAGAAAACGGTCAATACATATGTAAAGATGGTTACCGGGAGACGCAATTATATCACTCATGAAGAAATTTAAATTAGTTCACTTTATGCTAGAAATTGCGCTGAAAGGGGATGTTGTCCAGAAGGGGGACGACGAAAGCTCGCAACTAAACCAAGAAGCTCAGAGAACACTATTAATTGCAGAACTGTAATTACATGGTGATCTTAGTTAAGAAATCAATATCATTAAAAAAAAATAACATTCCTATTGACTACTATTCTTGAATATTCGCATATATATTGGATGGAGGAATTCATCATGAGCTGACATCAGTTAGAGGAGCACCAAAAAACTTAGGACTACTGGACAGCTATTTCGTCCGATTTTGGGACTCTTCAGCGGTACGCATCTACCGGGGTTCGAACCCAGGACCTTCTGGGTGGGTGCGTACTGATGAAGATTCCCATAATAGAACGAAACAGCTGTCCAGTACTCTCAGGTTTTCCAGTGCTCCTCAAACTGATGTCAGCTCATGATGAACTCCTCTATCCAATAAAACAAAATCGGCACAAAACCAAACAGAAAGCAGTAAATCTACAAATAACGGGATTTATTAATTTGTTATACAGACAACGATTAGTTATACAATCTTGTATAGTTTCTATTTTGTTTAAGAATCTTTTGACGTTGAAATGCTAGACGATTTTTTAACTGTGTCATAGCTGTCCATGAAAAATCTCCTCCAGATTTGTATATACTGATCCATTGGACGCTGTACACCAAAGTTTCCAGTTTAAACCCGGCTTATCCAATGGTCTAATCGTGTTTGCATGATAACTTGTACCGCCTCCACTAGTGTTATTGTCGTCAACTTCAATTGTTGTCGGATAACCACAACCAAGATTGCTAGCAATTTCAATAAGATTGTAATTATTCTCTTTGTTACTTTGATCTCCAATACCGAGAATAAGTAAAATTTGTTCTGAATTCATACAATGCGTTAAGGCATTCAATTCTAAGCGTATTTCATTCCATCTTTCTATCTCAGAATGATAAGGATTTATCAATTCAATAGGATCATCTAAATTAGGCGCCACACGACTATCCTCTTTACGTATATCAATAGCATAAAAGACAATTTCAGATGTACTAATTGAATTCATTGCATTTTGTGTAAGATTCACTTGTTCCCCGGCGGTGTCAACAGCATTGGCTGATTCAATTAAAAGACTGTCAAATAATCGACTACCACCATAAGAATATCTCATACGTTCCATATGTTTACGTGAATGTAGAATTGTTGTATTTAACAGTATACTGCTCTGATTGCTATCTTCACAAGTTGTTGGTAACCGTAATAGAAATCCTTTACCAGCCCAAAATGTTGACATTTGTTTTGCATTCACCTTGACTGTTGGTCTATTCAATATCACACTTAAATCTATCCAATTTAATATAGTTTGTAGTAATCCACTAGATAAATGTACCGTATCTATAGCTGGACCAAATAGGATACAATTTAAACAAATTGGTTCAATGTTCAATTTTGAAAATGGCGGAATAATTGAAGTTTGTTGTTGTTGCTGTTGTTGTAAGGTTTCCTGTTCATTATAATATTCATATAAATGTTTCATTAGACAAGCAGGATTATCTAATAGCTCTGTAATGAAATCAATAAATGTTCGATACTTTTTCTGCTGCCTATCAGGATTATTTTCTTCGGCTTCATCCACGCTAACTTGTGTTGGCTGTTCATTTAATAAGTTGTATGAATTTAGTAGATTTATAATATCTCTATTTAACCATAGCAAATGATTATTCATTTCTTTTTCATATATTGGGAACCATAAATATTGATCGCTAGTGATTACATAATTCCAGCGTTCATTAACTAATGTACATGTGATTAAATCTTTACCATTTAAATATTGAAATATATTTAATAATAATTCATTTGGTAATCTATCAACTGGATGCATAGTATTACTCAAAGGATTATTATGTTTCTTTCAGTACTTTTAATAATTAAGCAGAGCTGAGCCAAGCCAAGTCAGTGCAGTGAAGTGTCGTATATAAAATTAGTATAGTGTAGTTTAATGGTGTTATATAATTCATGTGAAGCATAGAATATAAGCCAACCAGACAGAATAGTGAATCTATCAGATCAATCAATCAATGCGGTGTGATTCTAATTGGATTTCTGTGCGTGCGTGCGTGCGTGCATGTATGCGTGCCTGATTAGTGGTAGTAGAGTCGGATTGACATGTTGGGGCTTAAAGTAGTCGTAGGCACCCAGGTAAACATAGTTGTTTATGCACACACACACACTCACACAAGCACAGTGAGACATAACCACCTTACTTGACTTTTCTTTCAAATCACAGAGTAACACGTAAGAGATAATGATGATGGTGATGATGCTGGAATGTAGAGCTCCACGTGGAGTAAAAGTATGTCGTTTATTTGTGTTTTTTTTTTATTTTCGTGCTTAATTAGATTAAATCATACCATCAGCCTGGTAGGGGGTGGCGGTATTATTGTTATTGCTACTTTTATTGTTGACTCAATGATCTCTTCTTTACTAGGCATTTAAAGTACTCACAGAATCACATGATCACACTAAAGTGAATCAACTCATCACTGACATGTGATTAAAATTTAAATTAATTGTAAACAATTTCATTTTATTTTTCCAACAATTGCTAGTCAACAAAAGACGTGTTTGTGTGTGTGTGTGTGTGTATAGCGTAGCAATTTCAACATCTGTCCTTCTTTATAACTGTGAGATGTAGTCATTGAAAAGACTAGCCGTCTTTGATCACAAATGTCTGCTTTCTGTCTCCTGTATCAAGTGGTAGAATATGGTGAGTAATATCTAAGTTAGGCATGGAGACGTAGGTTGCGAGTGTACAACAGTACAACAGGGTGTTTTGAAACTACGTGGATCAATATATCTAGAACACCTGTTACTCAAGTGACGAATGATTGGTGGCAAAGTTGAATATCGAATCGATCTGATCTAAACACACTGGATGGCTATCTGTGTTGTTTGAGACCGAGCTCTTCAGTGGTGCGCCTGTTATGCACACTTAATTTTTCCAACAGCGCCTTAAAATACTGTCTATGTTTTTACAGTATAGCAATATTTGTATTCCCCACCCGCTCACAACCCCCCCTTAACGCATTATGACGACTGAACCCTATTGCTTGTTGATTGTTTTAACTTATCATTGAAATTAATGTCCCTCAAGGTCATTCAAAACCTTATATATATATGACCAAGACGGTAAAAGCTCTCAGTTTGTCTTCTTTCTTTCCTTTCTTACGTCGTGTGTAGGTAGTATCATGTCGTGATTGCTGTTGCGAATAGTAATTAGAATAGTAGGTTTGCAAGTCTGTTACATAGGACGTTTGTTAGTACAATAGACTCGTAAATCTGCTTGGTGACATTGATGGTCATATCAGTACCCGATTTGAATCGGTTCAGGGAGCCGAAACAGTTCGAACCACTCGAATTCTGACTAGCTACTTGGGCCAACTGATAATGCGTTAAGCCAAAATGTGAATTTGACTTAGTGATTACGAATTCATAGCTGATGTGGCCATATATGTCTGTCTGTTTTCGACATAGAACTTTGCACAAATGTGCACCACTTCAAGTCACCACACTCCCTCCATGTAGCACACGAAGCAAGAGAAGAAAGTAAAAGAAAAGCATAATAGAGACAGTAAGCAGAGGTGTGAGACAAAGGAAGAGTAATAACCAAGAACAAAACAGTTTCATTGGAAATCATAAATCACTAGGAGTGGATGCATCTGCGCCACTGAGAACGATTTTGAGCCATGTCACCAAATGTTTCCAACTATTGATTTTTACCGTTCCGAGGACCCCAACCAGGAAGCCTACACCTTCCTACGTGGCTGGCTTAAACTAACTGTTGCAGATTTCATTGACTGGTGAAGCCAAGTTTTTGTTTGACCTCCGCTAGCTTTTTTCCAGCCTGACCTTGTATCCGCTAACATTGCTCATTGTCGAGGAAGGCGATGACTAGGCATACGTAACACATGTCCTAACCATCTCAGTCTATGTTACTTCACAGCCTCGTCGATTGATTTCCCCTCCCACCTACCTAGCACTCGACTGAACCCTCACTTCAATATTGCTCACCCTATTATACCACTTCACACGCGAGGGAGATAGAACGCAGGCACCTATGATCAAAGGCAACTAATCGTTTCATGTCTCCCACTCTCAGTGGCCAGGTCTCACAGCCATAAAGGAGGACGGGGCGGACTGATGAGCAGTACATCCGCCCTTTGGTCGATAGTCGAATATCTCGTCTACGCCAGAGACGGCGTAGACTGGCAAATGCGAAACGAGCCCCCTGTATTCGTACTGAAATTTCGTGGCTATATATGAGCTTCCAAAAGATAATAAGTTTCTTCAGGACTTGTGATATACTTTACTGACGAACATTAACCAGCAAAAAATCAACGGTACACATTCAAAATATAATCACTTTTGAATACCACCTGTGGGGCGCAGGGGGTAGTTGTGGAGGGAAAGACTAATTTTTGAAAAAATGTATTCATTTAAAAACAAAAAAAAAAAATTAGAATTTAAAACTTACTCAAAATTATTAAAATAAGTTTTAAATAATTCCGATTCAAATCCATCAACTTCTCGATGTTGTATTGCTTTATCATCAAGGAAGGTGTCCAACTCCACGGTTTTGTACGCTGCTGTTCCATATTCATCCTTAAATTAGAGAAAAAGTAATTAGTTTCAGCAGTGTATAGCATTTATACAATTTAACTGTTCTTGAGAAGGAAAAAACCCTATAAACTTTGCAAGTATATGATACGCGTATAACTACCAAACTGAAATCTGAACGCGTTTATGTCAGTATTCATTCCTTCATGTTCGGTACGGAAAATACGGCTTCAAGTCTTGAACTTAGAAGTTTTATGGGGGTGAAGGTGCTAGCCTCATTCCTAACCTTCCGCATTTCGAAGGCTTGCTACCTACTGGTAGTAAACTAGACGCGATTTAGGAGTGCGTCATCCGGGAATTGAACACTAGACCATGTGCGTGGCTGGCGAGCATCCTACCACTGAAACATCGATGCATCATGTGTCAGGTTACTTAGATTTACAGTGGGGTAGGAAAGAACCACTCATGAGAAACTCAGACAGCTCATTCTAGGTAAGCTTTAGAACTACGTTACTGAGTTGTATAACCTGGAATCATTCAAATATATTTATACTTATAAGACTTAGTGAGACGACTGCATTAGAGAAATACCACTGTTCAGTAGACTACACTACTAGGCTTTACCACCTTATTTCTTTGAAGTCATGCCATAATACAGAAAGCCGAGTTCTAAGCTGTTTTCCAAAGATAATTCTGTAGATTCTCTGTAGAATCAGGAGAAATTCTTATCTTCATTTCATATTTGGGTATAAATGTAAAAGTTAGACTGTTTGAAGGTTGCTATGATATTGATTGACGAGGATGGTTATTCATTAATTTTCTAATTTAAAACACAAAACCTGGTACAATATAGAGGCACCAAGAAGATGCACTACACAGAAATAATAAAACAAAATATGAAAAAAAATTAAAAAATAGAACTTCATCTTGGAAGAAGGCACTTATATTTCACAAGACGGAACAGCATTCGTCGAATTATTTTCAGAAAGGGAAGGAAATCTCAGCACATCCACCATTGATTGCGATTCTTGGCCATATCTGATAACGTTTTTAGCCACTGATCCGACTTATCCATCGGAATCCAAACCAGGAGGTCGAGACGTATCAAACGGTGATAACCTAGGACAAGTATCCTTCATTCCAAGACACCAAGGGATAGACTGGCCACCTATTTCTTCTTTTTCTAGCCCCTCCCAGGATAAGTGAACGGAGACCGGCACAGAAGCCTCTGGAATGACATTCATAGCATATGTTCAAGCCGAAGCCAGGGTTTCCAGATGAGTTCCACACACCGCCGGACGTCAGAATCACTCACAGGATGATGACAACGAACGCAGGCATTTCTACGGAGACATTAGAAGTCGAGTACGTAGAGTCGCTACGCATTCTCAGTTCGGAGACGCCAGGCTTCGAGGACCGAAGCATTGTAAACCCTACCTTTAACAGCCAGGCTAACGTTGCGAAGGCGACAGGGGAGGCTCAGGTTAACGTATGCCACCCTATATTTCATGATACGTAGGAAATCTCATCTATTACACCTCCGCCATCATTCACACAACTACCCAGATACACGAACTTATCGACAACTTCAAGCGGTTCACCTGCAGCAGGAGTGAGTGCAGGTACAGGCTCCTGCCAATCTTGCAATAGTACTTTGCATTCAGGCGGCGCAAAGCACATACCATACTTGCAGACACTGATCTCCAACTAACTTAGTGAGATTTGGGCAGCCTGAATGCTATCGCACAATAAGCTGATATCATCTGCATATTCGAGGTCGAAAAATCTTTCTCCAGGAAACAGATTTACACCACCACCAAGCACATCCTTCAGAGATCACTCCAGAATGTCATCGATGGCAGATTTAAAGAGAGATGGAGAGATCGGGCAAAGCTGGTAGTCACATCTGGAATGAATAACAAAGAATTTTTGTTCATTGGTGCATTAACCTAACTTTTAACTAATTCACGATAGGTTACATATCCCACTACATTTATAAAAGTCGGACTCGCTGATAAGTATCATAGGAACTCACACATACATCATTGTGATCTGGCTAGCAGGCAATATTACTTGATATGAGTGTTATTCAGCCACTCATGCCGGTAGTATATTGCACCATGTATCTTTGCCTGCTTTCTTCATTGCCATTTATAGTATATCAAGCAGACCAACCGTATTCATTAAGAGTCAAGTCACAATGGTGATGACAAAATATCGTATATAATTAACCGCCGTCATCATAACTTACTGCTGTGCTTTCTCTTCCAATCCAGAAGTGAACATCATATACTAATTCCTCGCCAACTTTGTCTGTATTCAAGACAATATATGAATCACCACGGAAAAATTTCCCAACATCTTCAGGTCTAACAACTTCCAAGTTGAAATTCTGCAGAATAAAAACAAACAGTAGACATCTTCAATATTTTAAACATTTGCAAACGAATTCGGATCATATTAGCTACCAAAACAGGTATAGCTTACTGCATAATCGTGTTCTTTTCAGGCAACTAGCAATAAGATCCAGTGTTTTTTGCATTTCGTTCCATTTCGGACTCGTCAGGTGGGCGTATCCTCATTCCCAGTGAGTGATAAATGCAAACTTACCCAAAAACGAAAAGTAATTGTTTCCCCATTTGCACAAGAGATGAATGTTGTGGCTATCGTGGCCTAGTGTATGATGCTTTGACATTTGAGACGATGGGTGTAGGTTTCGAGTCCCAGTTGGAACCCCACCATCATTCACCGGGGAATACAAGTACATTCAGTTCGTGAGTCCCAAATAAGATGAAGTGCTCGTCCTGGATTCCACTGCTAGTCACCACAAAGCAGAATAACTTCACGTGAATCCATTAGACATTGTTGAATTGCCAGTGCTAGCCTTTGCCAACTATGTCTATTAAGAAAACAATTGCAGCGAAGAAAATTTTCTTTTCGACAAAGTCATCATCTAGGCTGTACACTCGTGTAGTAATGACCATACCATCACCTTTCTTATCTAAACTTCCTGTTTATTCACGTTATTTTTTAAGTTTTTTCTTAATCCCTATTTACACTACCATATTTTCATATCCGAACTTTCGGGTTTATTTTGTCATTTTACTATTTCTACATATTTAATCCCTGATTGCATAAACAATTATTCATCACATTAGTTTTTATCCAAACATCCTGTCTATTTTGTTATTTCTACATTTCTAACCCCTAAATGCACAATGTCAATCTTCTTAGTTATCATGACGCTACTTTGTTTGAGTTTTATGTGCGTCGGTGGCACATTAGTTAGGACTCTCGCCGACCATGCACATGGTCCGGGGTTCGAGCCCTCGCCGGTGCACACCTGATATCTATGGTCGGCCTGCGAAATTTGGGCTACTAATCCATGCTGAGAATTCCATACTTGTACCAAAAATACAGTTTGGAATCAAGCTGTAATCAAAAATAAAAAGAATTAAAAAAATTTATCTGTCCCTCTCCACGTGTTTATTATGGCATTTTAATTCCTAATCGTTTTTCTTTTCCTTCACGTTCCCCAGTGGAACTTAGGGCTTCAAGCTAGTGGCTTGAAGTTTCTGTAGCAGAGTTTTTATTTTTACAGGATGGGGTTGCTAAGCCTCATACCCAACTTTTCCTCTTTACCAGCATCATTTCTGGCTTAGCGAGGTAAAGGAGTGCGTCGGCCGGGGATTGAACCCTGGACCATGTACATGGTCGGTGAGCGTCCTAACCGCTATGCCACCGACGCACAAATTCCTAATTGTAATTTTTATTATTTTGACTCTTAGCCGGAAATTATTCTGGAACTTTCCCATCCATTTGATATAAATACACGAATGTACAGCCTAGATGATGACTTCGTCGAAAAGAAAATTTTCTTCGCCGCGATTGTCTACTTAATAACTCCTACGGACTATGCCTACGTGAACATTTGTTCGTATAAACATGCCACTTTTTCCACTGTCCTCCTAGTTATCACAAATCACTCCATTTTATTAATACGATTATTATAATTGTTGGTATGACTGATTGCACAATTTGAATACACAATCTTATTATCCCAATTGACAAATCATCATGATTGGTTTATACTTTAATATTTATCTGTAAGTTGTGTATATTAAAGTTAAGTCTTCCACATTATTATTATTATTATTATTACATGAATTCTCTTCATTTGATTCCATAAATAAAAGTTCCTTTATCAGTCCGACCCTCCAACTTATCATATCAGTTAGATTTTAAAAGTGTCATCTTATCATATCATCCCATTGAATGGTTGTGTGTAATTGCATGAAGTGAGTGCTATGAATGAATTATTCTCTAGATTTCTTATCTTATTCGAGCCAACTAATCTAGATTTTGCTACGTTTTTGTGCTCCGCTAGTCTGAGTGACCCCATCCTACTACTCTGACCTGTGTATTTGACCTGACAGTCATTTCAGCCAGCGTTTAACTGGCTCCACAGGATTGATCCTTTCACTGACAAAGCCTGTTTCTAGTTGAGTTTATGGATGGTTTGAATGCCAGCCACTTTTATTCCTGCATTGTTAAGAATTCTACATAAGGTTTCCGAGGTGGCTTCTTTGTATGGAAGTACTACTGATGATTTGAATTCCCTATTGTCGGTGGTGTCATTGATCTGTGCATGTTTGACGTGCATGTCGTCGTTAATATTATTATTTTTATAGTTTTGGTTTGTAAGGATTAGTTATGTTTTACGAGTTGATCACGGATTGATATCAGTTAGAGAACCATTGAAAACCAGGGAGTACTGGACAGCTGCTGTTTCATCCTAGTTTGGGAATCATCGGCAGTACGCACCCACTGGGTTTCGAACCCAGGACCTTCCGGTTACAAGGCAAGCTCGCATACCATTCAGCCACTGGGACCCGATTCAATGGCTCGTGAATTCTAACTTCTACCAATTCGTGATTTAGCGCGACCCCAACCATTGTCGTTGGTGGACATCCATCCACACACGTGACATCTAATTGGACCTCACTGGTCACGACTTCTCACTAGAACTCAGGAAACTCCAACCTGTAGCAAGTCACTAGCGAGCATCAGATTAACTTTCTATAGTTTTGGTTTGTAAGGATTAGTTATGTTTTACGAGTTGATCACGGATTGATATCAGTTATTATTATTATTATTATCATCACTATCAACACTATTATTACTATTATTGTTTATTGAATGAGCTGCAAACACGTGTAATAGGCATAATTCAACGCCCATGTATCCAGACATCTGCGAATTTCTACTACCCCTACGACGACAAATAAGGAGAGAACAAAGAAAACTATAAAACTGAAGTTTCGAAGTTGTATGATTATAATTAATATTACTGTGACCAGCAATAAATTGTATTCAAAACGTCATCCAGTAAATAATACTGTTTCACTGTGTGATATATCCAATAAACAAACTAAATTTTATCCTTAATATAGCTATGCTCTACCACAGTGCCCAAGCTTTGCATATAATATTTACGGAGTTAGGTTTGATGAGATCTAATTGAAAACAATATTATTCGCTTTAACAAATGATGTTCTAAAACTTATTATTAATTACTTCTGTTACTCCTCTAACAAACATTAATATTGATCAGATGAGACATGTGCGTCGGTGGCATAGCGGTTAGGACGCTCACCGACCATGTACATGGTCCAGGGTTCAATCCCCGGCCGACGCATCCCTTTACCTCGCTAAGCCAGAAATGATGCTGGTAAAGAGGAAAAGTTGGGTATGAGGCTTAGCAACCCCATCCTGTAAAATTAAACACTGCTACAGAAACTTCAAACCACTAGCTTGAAGCCCTATGCTCTATTGGAAACGTGAAGGAGAAATTATCATTATTATTTATATGAGACATACAAAATCTTAAATAATGAATGTCAAGTCGTTTGTAGAGCTAAACAACTAACGCAAACATCAAACTACTCATAAGTAAAAAGTAGTGGTTGATACATCATAAAAAATAACCACAGCAGAAGGAAACAGGGTATCCTGAAAATCACATACTAATGAATAACACAACAATGGTACAATGATGACCAATGAAGAGGCAGACGTTTGCATAATAACGATTCAGTGGAATGTAATTCAGTATCATCGATTTGTGAAGGCTACAGAAGTTATTCATGTGATATATGGCGGGATGTTTTTGGAAGATAGAGACGAAAAAGATATCTAACCCACAATAAAAAGCATCAGGATCACTGTCAATAGGAGAGATCGAAAAAAATTCGTCTCTTTTAGTTATCTTTAGGCAGGATGGCTTCAACTCCAGGTGGGACAAATGAGGACATCAAAGTTAGGATTAGAAAGTCAAGGCAAGTGTTCATTAATCTTAAGTCAGTAGAGAGATCTACTTCATTAACAATAAAGAACAAGATCCGGATCTTCAAAACGAATATTAAATGAGTGCTTATTTATGATAATTCACAGTAAGCTGATGGAGACTTTTACTAACAGCTTCCTTACCTCAATAATGAGGATCAGATGGTTGACTTCAAAGAATAAGCGAGAAGCCACCCTGGTAAAGAATTCACTAAAAAGACTCGAGGAGGCTTTCATGTGATATTTACACACCAGGTCGTCGAGTTAAACTCGAATAAGAACCAAGGAGTTGTTCATGGGTTTCCGAGGGTGATGTGCAGGAGATCGTGTGTAGATTAAGTGAAAGCGCTTATGGGCAATCAGAGAGCCACTTGAGAAGGACTACAGATCATAGGATAAAATGGATATGTGCTACTGAACTCGTATGTTTCACTCTGAACCCAAGGGAATAATAATAATGCTAGCGGTACGAATATTTCCCATGGAATTCTTAGCTTTCTTGACCTGAAAGAGACATTCGATTCCGTCGACCAAGTGGTACTAAGGCGATGTTTGGCTGTAAAGGGAATGTCGAGAAATTACATCTCCCTGATCAAGCCACTTACTCTGCTCGAACTCATGTAGCTAAGTAAAAGCCTATGGAGAGTTGTCATCTGAAATGGTGACAATCACTCGTTTCCTTCGGGGATGCCCCCTATCCTCATAACATTTGTTTAATTTCATCATATATATACTAATGGATTTAACCCTAACTGACTTCAGTGACTCAGGGATTTATTGATTTCTTACCAGGGAATAATATGCAGATGATGTAGTCCTCTCACCTGGATGAAGACGCTAACAAAGTGTTGAGTCTTATGAACTCCTTGAGGAGCAGCAATCTTCGAATGTTTGGCATGCAATTTACTCCCCTTGTCAAATGGAAGATGATGCTACACGACTGCACTATGTTGATTCTTTACTTAAAGATAGAGTGAAATGGTAGACTTTGCTAACCACTTCAGTTATTTGCGAACTTGCATCGTCCAGCCCTAGTGGGTTGATCGC